ACCATGGAGACCATGGAGACCATGGAGACCATGGAGACCATGGAGACCATGGAGGTACACTACATACTGGCTTGTTTAGTCCCATGGCTCACTTAGCTTGCTTCCTTATAGAAGCTAGTGCCACGTGCTCATGGGTGGTACAGTCCAGTGGGCTGGGTCTTCCTAGGAATCAACTATTAATCAAGAAAATGCTCTCACAGGCTAGTCTGATGAAGGCAATGACTCTTGTGTCAAGTTAACAAAAATCTAACCAGCACAATAACCACCTCCTGTACCTATACAAGTAATATAAAAACTTACTTTATATAATATGAAATATAATACTTATATGAAAGCTGTAAATTCCATGATTGTGTGGAGTACACTCACAACGCTTGGTAGAGTTCCTGAAAGGACTAGGAACAGGTAGTTTAAGTGTGTATATTGAATTATAGCACTCTATTTCACAAATAAGCACAAATATTACTTGTTGATTAAAAAATACATATTGACCTTTCAAGAACCTAAGGAGATGACTGTGAAAAACACGGCAATTTGACAATTCCCCCAAAGCGAAACCCTCTGTTACCTAAAACGCAAACGGCGGTGTCTCGCACTGACCGGCTCATCATCCTGAATTATAGCACTCTATTTCACAAATAAGCACAAATATTACTTGTTGATTAAGAAAAGACATATTGACCTTTCAAGAACCTAAGGAGATGACTGTGAAAAACACGGCAATTTGACAACTCCCCCAAAACGAACCCCTCTGTTACCTAAAACGCAAACGGCAGTCGCTCGCACTGACCCGCTCCTCAGCCGGATAAGTTAAAAACACCGCCCAGCCCGCAGAGGCGGGGACGGAGAGAAAGCGCGGCCCGCTATAGGCCTCCGAGCGGAAGAGGTGGGACCGATCCTCCTAACTGACAACGGTTCCTTTCCTCAGCTCGCGGCTTCCGGAAGTCCCGCCTTCGGAAAAGGAAGTAACGGCGCACGAGAAAGTGGGCTGTGACCCGGGCGTTCGCTGTGACCCCGCGTGAGGAAAAGCAGCAGGTGCGGTCGGCGGCTGCCGAGTGTGTTCGGTTTGACTCGGTCGGGGACGCGCGGAACAGTCGGAGAGGAGACTCGGGGACAGAACGGCGTCCGGGAGCCATTGAACTGTGGAGACCGCGGACCGGTACAGGTGGCACGCGGGTAGACAGGTAGGCAAGACTGGTGGCTTCCTGCCCTTCACCGCTTCCTGCCTTCCATTTTGGTGACACGCCTTTTTATGACCCTTCCTATTTTCCCTGAGGCTCCGTCCTCCGCGGGCAGGTGTTCGAGTCTAGTTCAGCAGGTTTCTCCTCAGGGTCGGTGTCACCACCCCTTGGACACCACCAGGAAGTCTACACACGTGTTCACGACGTGGTTTCATCTTACGTGTTTCCAGTCTCTCTGCAATAGAAAGCAAACCAAATAGTGGCATAGGTTTCACGGCATTTTCCCAAAGGAGGCACGCATTTAAAACTGCCCCCCCCAAACAAGTGTTCTACCTCATACTTTCCCATGGGATGGGGAAGAAGAGTGAGGGCCAGCCAGCTTCAGAATAACAAGGGGATATCAGCTGTTTAGCTTCCATGTTTTAATCTGATTCCTTGCTTTGGCAGTTGCGAATTTTAGATTGGGAGTGAATCCTGTGATTGCAGCCATGGGCTCCTCAACATCTTCTCCTGCTACTGCAGTAAACACCTCAAATACTTCAGATCACCAGCCAGCTTCACCCCCTTCAGGATGCCCGATGCATAAAGGGCAAAGGAAAGGTAATTTGCCTGTCTAGAAAATTAAAAGAAAGATAATGGTTCTAGATCAGTGGTTCTCAACCTTCCTAATACTGGGACCCTTTAACACAGGTTTTCATGTTGTGGTGACCTTCAACTATAAAATTACTTTCGTTTCTACTTCATTACTGTAATTTTGCAGTTGTTAGGGAATCATAATGGAAATATTTTTGGAGATAGTGGGTTGCCAGGGGGGCTCAACCCACAGGTTGAGAGCCATGGTTCTAAAGGAGGAGGCTTGTAGGGCTGGGAGTAAGGCACTCTGGGACTGGTCCTAATTTTGCTGCTCATTAGATATTAGCATAAACAATTTCCGTATGACTCACAGTCTGTCATCTGTATGTATAATATAATTTTCACAGGATTATGATGTTGATTAGCTGAGCTCATATGTGAAAACATAGCAATTCTTCTATAAATCAACCTTGTCCCTTTACTTGTGCCTGCATCATTGGCTCTCAGCCATGCATGAGAAGAGCCATCATTCAATACATATTTTGGGTTTTCACAACTGAGAGGAAATGATACTGCTGACATATAGTGGTATTTAACGATAGTGCTAAATAGACGAGCATACAGCCTCAGACATGGAATCTTTGGTCCATATATTTATTGTAAGAATGCCCGAGCTGAATAAACCTCAGTCTAGCTGTTTCAATAAACTAACTACTCCCATATCTGTTATGGTCTTCATCTAGGTCAAAAGAAGCCTTCACTGAGTGAATTTATAGACCATTATGTCAGTGCTAGGTTGGAAACAAAAAGTTCTTTAGTGCATGTTTGCTTTAGATAGTTCAGACTGTGGCAGTGTTGTATGCTTACTGCATGTGCATGTTTTCTGTATGCTTATGCTTCCAGGGTTACCATTCCTCTTTCTCTCTGTTAACCAACCTTCTCCAAGAGGTCAGCACTTACCCTGTGACAAGCATTGCTAGGTTTTGTTCCTTCACTGAGAGAGAAGTAGCAATGCACATAGTAGACAAAAATCCTTTGCCTAGTAGAGTTTACATTATCACTTCTATAAACCAGTGTGGGAGATTTTCTGACTGTTCTATAGTCAAGGGAACAAACTAAGGCTCAGAGTAATTTATGTACTTCAAGTCATGTAGCTAGTAAGTGGCAAAGTTGGTGAAAATTCTGTGACCTTGGACAAGGACAGATCCCTTGGTCTCCTAGTATTTCTCCTAGAAGTTGAGACAAATTAGACAAAGCATGTCTGTGTTTGCTCTGAGCTTCTGTCCTTAAGCAATTCTTTTCATGATTTATATTTTATCTGTTTTAGAGTGTTGTCATCCTGGTTTATTAGCTTTAGTAAGAATGTGAGTGTTTATAGGAGACTAAAGGGCTTCCTGGTTCTATGATGTACAAACTGTAACAATACTTTCCTTCTAATAGCCATCTGGGATGGATGCTCTGAGAAGATTGGTGGTTTTAGTGATGCAGAGGGAGAAATAGCAGCTGTGTTCTCACTCACAAAGTGAACAGCTACATGCAGCCTTGGGAAATAAGGCCTTGTTGAAGAGGCCAAAGAAGTGAATAGAAATTTGTCTTTTCTATATAATAGCATTCATGATATTCTTCATTTCCTCCTGGTCCCTGGAACAAGGAAGGATTTCATGAGAGAAGTTGCTTTTTATTCTGAGACACAGATCTTTAAGTACCCTAGGAGCTTGGGCATTAACCTGGAATTGACTCAAGGATGAGACTGTCATGGGACATTTTCTTTAAAAATTGCCTTTTCTTGGTACATTTTATCTGCTGACAAGGACTAGCATCTCAGATGAGTGGTAAAATTTTTTGTGGCTTACTTGAGTCTTGGAAAAAAACATGAGCAGAGTGGGATTCACATTTTTCTTTGAGTGTATATAAAATCTGCTGCTTTTCTGCTCCTGTATCCAGTATCTGAAGGAATATATCGATAGATGCTTAGATAGTGGCTGCTACCTCATTGGGATTGGACTTGTATGGAACTGATGACTGTAAGTGAGAGGGACCTAGTGAACCATAGCTAGCTGTCCCTTCGGGGTTTTTTTTTTTTTCCTCTTTTCTTTTTCTTTCTTTCTTTCTTTCTTTTTTTTTTGAGGGAAAGTACATTTATATCATTTTATCTTTAGGATTTTAGACAGTTAACTAGCTTAGTTCCTGCTATCTTTAAGTAGAAAAAATTTAGTTCTCCAATTGTGTTAGTCAGAACTTTAGCTCTTTAAGGCCCCAACTAAGAGGATCTCCTTCCACTGTATCTTAGTATGGTATGATATGGTATTTAGCAGTAACAGTGTTTGAATATTTGATTATTTCAGGCTGTCCAGTGACTTCAGCAACATCTGATCATCTGACCCGTGAGAGCAAAGCACACTCTGTGCCTGCTCACCAAGACCGGGCCTATGAGTATGTGGAATGCCCTGTGACTGGTGCTGCAACTAAGGATAAGGAGAACCTTGATCCTTTAAACCTGGTAATCCACCCTCATCCCTTCTCAGGGCATTTTATGCACCTATGCATTCTCTACTAGGGCCAACTGTGTCTCCTCAGACTATAGGCTAGAATAAATCTTCCCTAAATTCCTTCTTGCTGGTTATTTTATTTGAGCAACAACAAAAAAGTAGCATGACAAAAATATCAGAGGTGTGAAACTCTGATGTCATTGATTTAATGGGAACTTGTGCTTCTTGTATGGAGAATTGCTTTCCAGAGTGAACTGATTATTGTGTAGTTTATACCATAGTGCTAACATTCAGACACAATCCACTGATATTCTGTAGATGCCACCACCTAATCAGACACCATCCCCAGATCAGCCATTTACGTTGTCTACCTCAAGAGAGGAGTCATCAATTCCAAGAGCCGACTCTGAGAAAAAGTGGGTTTACCCTTCTGAACAGATGTTCTGGAATGCCATGTTACGGAAAGGGTGAGTGAACATTATTTAGAAGATAATTTGCTTGCCACAATAATCTCAGAATTAAATGTTAAAGAGTTTTTGTTTAGCCTTCAAAATGTTCAGTAATTTTTTAGTGATTTAGACAGTTTATGATAGAATTTTCATTTACCAGAATATAAGTTCAAGACCAGTATTTAAGGTTAGGATTTTCTAGAAAAATAGGACTAATAGGGCATGGGGTTGAGGGGTGATCAGGAAGACATTTGTTATAAGAAAGTGGTTCCCATTATTATTAAAGCCAACAGCAAGTCTCAAGATCTGCAACCAGCAAGTGGCCAGTGATTTGAGTAGCCAGACTGAGGTCCCGAGAACCAGAGACCTCAGTCCTGGCCTGAAAAATTGAGAAGCTTAAAATCCAGAAAACCTGATGTTTAAGTTCAGGTTGAAAATTAGGTGAAGCCTAATGTTATAGCTCCAGCAAACATGTAGGAATTCTGTTTGCTTATGGAAAGGACAGCATCTGTTTTGTTAATACTTAGACCTGTAATTGGTTGGATGAGATTTACCTGTATCTCACAGCATTTGTATTTTTAGAAATATAAAAATGAAACACTTACCATAAAATGCGTAGGAAAAATTTGCAAATCATTTATCAGTGCTAGTAAATGAATAATGCCATGTTAAAAAAATAGATGGTTGTGTAAGGATGGCTTTTGGGGATTTCATGAAATGAGATTAACATGAACCTTCAATTTTTAATTTTAGTGTATGCAAGCTTTTATAACAATGTGCCGGAGATGCCGGGAGCCAAACCCATGAAGTTACCTGCTGTTCTAGGAAAGCCTAGTCAGACAAGGTTAAGAAAGGACGTTCACACGTCTCAGGCCCCAGGAACTTAAAGAACGTCTGGTATTTCCTGAGAGCCAGTTACTACAGTGGGATGGTCTTAGGCAATGAGGATATAATAGTGTGATAGCCTAAAGCAGTGTCTTGCCTAAACTTCCTGTTTTGCCATGTCTTTATAACCTGCTGCCTGAAATTAAAGTTGAAGTGCTTCTTCTTTGTGTCTCTTGTCCCTTCATTCCTCCGCTCCCTCCCCCTAGGTCTTCATTGAATTCCCCACACAACCTGGCAAAAGTGTATATTTTATGTATGCATTGAGTAACTTTGATTTTAATCAATAACATTTGTCAAGTTTTACTACATGTTCTTTCTTAGGTGGAAGTGGAAGGATGATGATATTAGTCAGAAAGATATGTACAATATCATTAGAATTCACAATCAGAATAATGAGCAAGCTTGGAAGGAGATTTTGAAATGGGAAGCCCTTCACGCTCAGTAAGTATATGTAAACTCTTTTAAAAACTGACCAAGCATCATCTTTACTTCATATTAGCCTTCCTATAGTGTTATCATTTAAATAATCTTGTATTACTCATTTGTGTAGCAGTGATCATCCTTGTAGGAGAGACCACATGTTCTAACTCATTGAGCTCATAGTGCAGATTGCAGAGAATATTGAAGAAAGATTGCTTAGGTCATGGTCATAAATAGCTGTTGCCTAGCTATGGACTAGAGTTTTCTGGAGGCTTAGTCATATACCTATCTGGTAAGGGGTGCCTGCTCACAGCCTCTGAATGTGACTATTTAAGCTGCCTCATTTATCACATTGGGTGGGTTCCAGAAGCTGAATTCTCAAAAGCACCAGACGGAATCTCAATCTCCTTTTTTTACCTAGCTAGTTGACTCAAGTATTCCAAGCATGATCAGATTTAAGCGAGGCATTCAGACCTCATCTCTCAGTGGGAGAAGTATGGTAGGCCACTCACTGAAGGCAGAAGTAAAACTAAATTGTTTTATGATCCATGGGAGATAGGAAAGAACTTTTTATTCCTTCAGCAGTATTTGGAATGAATCCCTGTGAGGTTTGATCCGTCTTCACATGAGCCCCTTGAACTTGTGATCCTCCTTACCTTCACCTTCCAAGTGCTAAAACTACGTATGTACATCACAGTACTTGATTTATGTGGTACTAAGCATTGAACCCAGAGCTTTATGCATGGTAGGCATGTACCCTACCAACTGAGCTGTATTCCCCAGTTCTCAGATACGGTGTTTTTCCAAGTACTTGTCAAATGAGAGAAAATTTTTTTTAATAGACTATTCTTATTTGGGCATTTTCAGTGAGTGTCCTTGTGGCCCGTCATTGGTCCGATTTGGAGGCAAAGCAAGAGAGTATTCACCAAGAGCAAGAATTCGTTCCTGGATGGGGTAAGTGTCAGTGTACAATTGCTGTTAACATTCCTTAAGCCATGGTCAGCATTCTTATCACGAAAAACAGAGTGAAAAAATCAATTCCATCTTCCAAACCTCCAGTATCCAGACTGTGTTTTTTTTTATCTCCTTGAGTTTACTCACAGATGAGCAGAATGATAAGGATTGGCTTGCTAGCCTCGTGCTTCACTCTCCAAGGATTGAATTGTCCTCTTTTCCTTGTCTTTAGAACTGTCCTTTTTACTCCTTTTGTGGTCTTTACCTTACCTTATCCCTTCCTTGTCTTACAGTGTAATAGGGCAGTTTAGTACATTTGATTTCTCCAGCTTCCTCCCTAGCCTGGCCTGGGTCGCTTTATCATGAACCTATCCTTTACAGACAGACATAGACTTATCATAGTTCTTAATTACCATATTATCTAAGTACCATGAACCGATATTCTAAGTCTCATCTCCTCTGCTATGTATTTGCATATAAGAGCAGGCATATGAGTATGTCCTATTTTTCATTCTATCTTTCTGCTTATACCAAGACAGAATATAGACCTGTGTTTTAGCAGTGTTTTCATTACAGGTATGAATTGCCCTTTGACCGCCATGACTGGATCATCAATCGTTGTGGCACAGAAGTTAGGTATGTGATTGATTACTATGATGGCGGTGAGGTCAACAAGGACTACCAGTTCACTATCCTGGATGTTCGTCCTGCCTTTGATTCATTTTCAGCAGTATGGGACAGGATGAAGGTTGCTTGGTGGCGCTGGACTTCGTAACCACTATTTTGTTATGAAAAAAGTGAAACTTTTTTCCTGAGAAAGCTGTTAAATTATTTTCCCCAAACTAAATGCACTCATAATGTCACTGAGGGTACTTTTCAAGTGAGTGGTCATACTTGATCTTGTATTTAGTAAAGATGTCATGCTCCGTTAAATTTTGAGTCATGTTTTCTATTGCAGATAATAGGTCAGTTTAATATTTTTTTCCCTGTTTGGTATAAGTGGGAAGCAGTCCCTTAGTTTTCATATTAACTGCAGTATTTCATGTTATTTTCTGTAGACTTCTTCTGAAAAAGAGGTTTTAAAAAAGCATAAACTATTGTTTTTATGCTTACTGTTTCCTCAGGAGTATTTGAGATAAAAAAACCTGAAAGTGTGTGATGCTTTTACCTGCCAAATAATTTAACTATATTCATTTTAAATAAGCACTTAGTCTTGTTTTAAAAGTAACTAATATCTCTAAAATCCCTGTGTTCTAAGTAGCAATTCTGAACAAAATATACAAGTATATACTGAATGTACTCTGCAAGACTGACATGTTTAAATGTAATTTCAGATTTGACCTTGATAGAAATTTCAACTTGATACATACAAATTTCAAAATACTTGGTTTTTTATTTCTGTTCAAGTATGTAACAATTAATGTAAAGCTGATCACACCATCAAAGTTGACAAATTATCTTAAATTATCTCAGCCCATTTCATCTTCCCACTAGGAGCTTGCCATCAGTAGTGTAATGTAAACCTTGAGAGCCTGGCTTCAGTCACAGTGCCAGCAGTGTTCCTTTGACAAATAAGATTATATTTGGCTAAGTGTTAGAATTCACAAGAAGTGCATTTTTCTCAGATGTGGAATGTTTACATCAATTCACCATTGTTTTGATGTTTGTTTTAAGCAAGTGCTAAGTTTGCTGTTGAAAACTGGTTATTTTGCTGGGCAGTAGTAGCACAAGTCTTTAACCCCAACACACTCCATGGACCTCTGAGTTTGAGGCCAGTCTGGTCTACAGATTGAGTTCCATGACAGCCAGGAAAATCCTCTCTAAAACCCAAAAGGAAAAGAAAAGAAAACAAGATGTATAGCTATACTGGTTGTATAGCAACATGTTAGAAATAACTTTTTTCTTAAGTGCTGATAATATGAAAAATATTTAATTCATCCTAAATACTGTAGTATTAAGTTAGTGGACAGAGTTGGTGTTTTTGAGTTATTTGATGTAGGTTTCTTTGTTGTATGATGTTTTAAAAATCCAACATGTGAAAATATTTGTATTTTTAAAATAAAGCTAACAGTTAAAAGGTTCTGTAACTTGTTAGAGTGATTTTGTACTTACTTAACTTTTGAGACACTATCTTCACTAAATGCAGCAGCTGTCTCATCTGTTAATCACATAATTTTAGACTGCATAAGAATGTCATCACTGTTGGCCTTTTTCAGGTCACAACTGGATTAGGACTGGAAACTAAAAAACTGTATGGAAGGATTCACTGTTGCAGTCACAGGGTATTGTGAAAGTCAACTGTCATGTAAACTCAATTACAAGATCAACAGTTTTATTCACCCTTTCATTACTTCTAGAAAAGATAGCTGCTGAGTACTCAGAGTTGCTTTGTGGCTAGATTATACTTAAGTCTGCCTAGGGAATAAAACTTCACTGCTCTGATGGTTTTTATATAACTTGAAATTCATTTTGAATCATCTCTAACATTTTATTAAGTCTTTTATCTGTGGAAATGGCATCATTCAGAATCAGAGTATTGGCAGAAAAGATATCTGCAAACTGGGTTACATATTAGCATTTAGTATTCCTATGAATTAATTAGCTGCCATTTGTGCGTTGTTGCTATTCACTCTGCATCACACCCAAGACAGAAGATGGTAAATGATCATCCCCTACCTCCAGAAACACACTCTTTCAGAGCCCAGTCCATAAACAAAATCATTCTACTGTACAATTTGTATTTTAAAAACTCTCTAAGGTAATGATGGGGTATGGGGATACATATAAGTACATTTCAATAATATTTAGCTACTGTGATGATTAGTCAGGTTGACAGAATTCAAAATGACATGGGAAATAGAACTCAGGGTATGCCTGTGGGGGACTATCTTGATTACATTAATTGAGGTGGGAATATTCAGCCACCATGGGCTGCACCATTGGTATCCTGTACCACATAAAATGAAGAAAGTGAGCTGAACACTGGAAACCATGTATTCACCTCTCTGTTTCTGGATTGTGGGCATAAGGTGACCCACATCAGGCTCTTGCTGCTTTGACTTCCTCACCATAATGAATTTCCTTGAATTGTGACCCCAGGCCCTTTCTCAAGTTGCTTTATCAGGCTGTTTTATCATAGCAACAGGAAAGGAAACCAACAGTTGCCAATTTGTTTGGTCCCTGATGTGTTTGTCCTCTAGCGGAGTTACTGCTCCCTATTGAAAGTGAGGTGTTCTGTATTTATTTCCTTTCTTGTCCTTGTCATGACTGTCAAACCATGCTCAGTCATTGGTATTGCTAAAGTTTTGAGGGTCTTTGTGATTAAAAAGGCATACCCTGAAGACTGGTGGCTTGTTCAAGTGTTCTCTTAACTTGCTTAGTGACATTTTTGTTTTGGACTTCCATTTTCATGGTTATAAAATGAGAAAAATGAGCAGACAGAATTGTTTTGAAAGTTCTGTGAGATGATCTCTACATGTTTTTGGTGCAGAATCCTGGAAAGCTTAACAACCATCCACACAATTGACAGTGACCATCACAGAGATTCTGAAGCAAGGCTAGAAGTCAAAGTGTTGAGACACTCCACAAGAAGAATCTGGAAAGATCAGGAGGTTCTTCTGATTTGTGTCAATTTTAAGTATTACCAGGTACTTTAAGTATTACAATAGATGCCAAGCAACCTCATGTTATATAAAAAAGGCTAAAGGGAATATCTTTTCAAGAATACATAGACATAAATTAATATTCAGTTAATATGCAAGTCCTACTGGACTAATGTAATTAAGTGCCTGGCTTTCCTAATCTAAAATGTTAACAATGTAGGACCCAGAAACCAGCTTCATAAATAGAAATTAGATAAGACTTGTTAGAGAGCATCAAGAATGTTGTCATGAAGCTGGCAACAACTAGGGAGATAATTGGAAAAAATTCAAGTTCTTTTACAGCTTTCCAGGGGTTTCTTAAAAATTCTTGCTACAAAAGTGGACTGGAATTAAAGATGGTGTATCCTGTGTGTTGGTCATGTAAGCAATAAGTGATTGCTGGCACACATCACCCAAATCCAGGCACTTAAGTATGTTATGTAGTAGGACTTGCATATTAACTAAATATTAATTTATGTCTGTATTTTTGAAAAGATATTCTCTTTAGCCTTTTTTAGATAACATAAAAGCCAGTGCCCTTTGCTCCTTGCAGAAAGACTAGTGAATAGCTTTATGGACTTTCAGTTAAAATCTAAACTGTAATCATTTTACAATTTTATTTTAGCTGTTTGTTTTTAAAAAGGAGGGTATGGAATTGTTTAAGGAAAGTGGTGTGTGAGGGCATTTTTGAAGATTTGCTGCCTCTCTCATCATCTCTTCTGTGTTTGCTTTACCAAAGGCACTTAAAAGTTCGACAGATCAGACTTTCCTTGGAAGTCTTGGTAAAATGCAGATGACTGGGTTCCCACAGAGGGTCCTTCATCTTATAGGCCGGGAACAGCTGGGACTTTATGTTTCAACAAACTCCCAGAAGATACTGATACTCTTGGTCCAGTCACCATGTGGACTTTATTTTTCCTTGACACCTTTTGGGCATCCACCCACTACAAACTTTGCAATAGTGTTTACAATTGCTGCAAATTTCTATGGTTGTGGTCAAGTAGGAGATGTAAAAGCAAAGGTTAAATGGAAATACAAATTTCTCATTTTACTTATTCTTCATTTCTTCCCCAAAGCCTCTCTTTTCTTCATTCTGAATGGTGCTTCATTTTTCCAAGTTCTGTTTTAATAACAAAAACTTTTCCCATGACTCCTATAGGTGGGCAGGATTATGGTGGTTGAAGGTAGTGTCCCAGACTGACTTAGAAAGTCCATGTTGTACTTTGTGTGCTGCTTCTATGTGGATTGGTGGTGGCCACTCCCTTGAGTAGATGAGGTGTTCGCTCTAAGTTATCTCTGATATATGACCTTTGCTCACCATCTTAGTTTGTCAGGTGGCCCATAAGTAAGAGTCACAGATGGAATAGCTTAAACAACAGAAATTTAGTCTCGTGGTTCTGGAGGCCAAAAGTCCAACACCAAGGGTCATGTTCCCTCTAGCAAAAGATTTTATCCATATCCTGCTTTTAGCTTCTGGGTATTCCTTGGCTTGTAGAAGGATAACACCTGTCTTCATTTGTTGTTTCTCTCCCTCTCCTCCCCTCCCCATTTCACTCTGTCCCCTTCTCCTTTTTCTTGCCTCTTCTCTCCTTTCTCTTGTACTCACTTGCGTGCTCATACTCCCTCCCTCTCAAGCACTCATCTCTCATGCTCCCCTGTTCCCTTATACACCCCCCTCTAGTGCTTGATTGCTCACTTGTGCTCTCTCCCTCCCACCCACTCACTCTCTTATGCCTCCCCATCCCCGTGTACTCTTTTTTTTTTTATTAGCAGTTCTATTAGAGTCAAGCATCTTCCAAATGCCTCCATCCTAACTTGATCATCCTCAAATGACCTGTTTCCAAAGAAGTTTCCATATGTAGAAGCTAGGGGGTTAGTAGAATACCATCTTGGAGAAGGACAACACAATTCAGACTATAATACAGTGACAAAATTTATCCAGGATCAGCTAGACTTGGCATCTAAGCACTGCCACTTCTGAATTACCCCAGTGTGTTAGTTTGAATACTTGGTTCAGCCATGACATTGTGACCTAGTACTGGTCCCTGACAAGCTTCATCCTTCTGTCCAGCTAGGTATGTCCCGGTCACCACAGTTTCTGTATCTCTACAGACAGGATAGCTGGCATAGTGTATCAGGGATGGAATTCTTTTGGTGGGTAGGCTCAGTGGCTTACCTACCCTTGGGTATTCGTGATTTGAGGTCAAGAAGGCACTAGAAATAGACTTGCCATGTTTCTACAAGAAAAAAAAACCTTACCATTCCTAATTTCATTACCATCGTTATAACAGAACACATTAGTCTTTTCTAGTGTGGAAACAGCATCTTTGCCCCAACCCCTAATGGAAACATCTGAGTGGTCTGACTTTCATTTCATTGCTACGTCTATGAGTTCCCTCCCCAGTTGTATAGAAGCTAACACCATAGGATCTGGTTGCAGAAAGGAAGGGCTGTGGACTTAGACTATAGCTCAGTTGGGAAGGTCCTTGCTTAACCTGGATGACACCTTAGGTTCAGTGCCTAGCACTGTATAAACTTAGCATAGTGCCACAAGCCTGTAATCTCAGCACATGGGAAGTGAGAACAGATTGGCTATATATCAAGGTCCAGATTAGCCTGGGATATACTAGACCCAGTGGTAGAGGCAAAGATAAAGAGAGTATACTTCAACAAAGACCAATTGACAAACTGACAGACATGCTCAAATTAGTCCCATTTGGTTGGTAGCAAGGGAACTGATGTGGCAAGGTAAGAAGCTGTTGATTGTAACTAGGTGGCACTTAAGGTTGATTCTTATTTATCCTATAATTGTTCATACTCTTATTCTGTTCTAGATCTCTGAGGCTTCTGTTCTAGTTCCTGAGGTTTTACTCATCAGAGACTTTGGCTCCACAAGACTCTTTCAAGTTATTTTAGGCCAAGTCCTGGCAATTTGTACCTATGCTCTAAAATAAAGCTGGAGTTGTTTTTTATGAATAGGGGGATTTCTGGTTTTGGCTCAGTTTCAACACTGTACTTTGGTCTCTGAACTAGGTGACTATCTTAATCTGGTCAGGGTGCTATAACTAAGCACCGTGGGTAGGGGATATTATACCTTAAACAATTCAAACAACTTCTACCAATTCTGGATGCTGTCAGTCAGAGATCAAGGTAGGCTAGTAAGGGCCTTCTGTTTCATAGGTGACAGTTCTTATGATTCTCAAGTGTAGAATTAGCAAAGGAATGTGGGGGTCTTCTCTATTATCATATTCTAACCACCTCTCAAAAGTTCTATAACAAACCCCTGAAAAGATAGCTCCCTAGTGTGATAGTAGCATGAATGTGGAAATAACCAGCCATGTTCTGATTGGAGTGAAGGGTATGAGATAGAACTCTCATCTGATACTATTAAAATGGCCAAAAACCTGAGGCTAGATATGTTATAGGTTCTAGGGGCAAACCCAATA